TTTAGAACTGGGAGTAACATTTTTAATAGGTAACCCACCACCATACTGGGAGCAACACCTTTCATAGGTAAAGTGAAACTAACCCAGTGCTCAAAAATGTGAATATCTTTAGGCAGGAGACACAGTTAGCTCATCCATTATGACAAGGTAAAAGAGAGCATATAAAGGCTCAGATACAGGGAGATTAGAATGCATAGTGGTGGGAGCATGTGAAAGCATTTCTTTTAATGCTAATATTTTTATAGTAAAATAGGAAACTGTAATATAGGAATGGGGATTTTTGCTGTGGAACAATCTTTGTCCACTATAAATATGTATTACTCTCATTGGTTAATAAAGAGCTAACTGGCCTATAGCTGGGCAGGAAGAGATTGGGCAGGAAAACCAGACTAGGAGGATGCTAGGAAGAAGAAGGGCAGAGACTCAGGAGCCGCCAGCCAGACACAGAGGAAACAGGACATATACAAAATGAGGTAACAAGCCATGAGCCGAATGGTAGAACTTAGATAACTATGGGTTAATTTAAGTTGTAAGAGCCAGTTAGTAATAAGCCTGAGCTTTTGGCTGAGTATTTATAATTAATTAATATTAAGCCTCTGAGTGTTTATTTGGGAAGCAGCTGCCGAAACAGAGAAACTCTGCCTACAAATATTGAAAGACATAATAATTCTAGAGGGGTTTTAAAGGAGGAATAATTGTTGAGTTATATGGGCATGTGAACTGGCCAAGGAAATATAGGTTGTTTGAAAACACCCAAGACTATGTGTCATTGGAGGTCATGAATTTAAATGTGTGTGACACTATTATGAATGACAATGAACTTTAAGTTTGACTGATATCAAAATCAAGAATTGAAAAAAAACTGGAGTGCCCTGTAAATCCAAGTGTTTTGGGGTCTTTGTCCCATACATCCAACCCACTTAACTACAGGGGATAGATGTCTGAATCTGAATTTAAGAACTGATTATAACTATAAAAAAATGATGAAGCACAGGAAGAGATGTATTGGGAACTGCGATAAAATAAGGTAAGGAGGAGAGGTCAAGGTCATGGGAAGGGATCAGAAGGACAATCTGAATGGATGATGCTAAGTGAAGTGACCATGATTCAGGACATAAAATTAATTCTCAAAGAGTTATGTGAGGAATGTAGGTTATGGCAGTATGGATGGGTCACTAGTGGACTGTTTATACCCCATCTCATGAGCTTCTTGATGAGGGCATTTGAAAACTTTGAAAGTCGAAGTTCCTCCTGTAAAGTTCTCCTCCTTATAAATGTAACTGTTCCTGGTGTTTGTGTAGACTATTGCTAAGTGGATGTAGTCCTGAGGGACTAAGGGGCAAAAAAAATCTTAAGTGAGGGGTGCCACATGAGCATAGAGTAGAAGAAAATCTGAGCCTTGATGGGCAGGACAAAGCACTATTGAATGAAGAGACCTTGCAACATCATGAATCACAAGCCGTCACTGTTTGCATATAGATTTTTTTTTTTTAAGGAAATAAAGACTTTCACTCTGTGTTTTGCAGGCTTCCTTTAGTGACCATAAATCTTTCCCAAATGCTAAGAACCTGCTCGAATTTGGCAAGCCAGATGAATAAAAAGGTCATCTTCTTGCCTAATGGCAGATCCTATAGTTTTTACCACACAATTCCCTTTATGGTCATAATTGTCCCTCGCAAAAATATAGTGTTATAGCAGACGCATAAAACTGCTGCCTGTGGAATAAACAGGAAAGGGCACATTCTCATTTCCAAACAGTTCTGTGTCAATCAAGTTTAGCTTGCACTTAAAATGGAAAGCAATGATCTTCCTAACAACGTGGGGCTGTGATAGACTGTCTCTTTGACCTTTCAGTGCACAGATGAATCTCTTTGCCCCCACCTGGAAAGACATTTTTTTTTTTCAAAGTGAAGATACAGATCTGACTTCCACATATATTACAGTTAGGAAGGCAAAGGAAGCAGATTTCCTTAATCTTGCCCAGCATCCAGTGCAGTGTTAAGTGCAAGGGGGAACTTAATAATGCATGGGTTTTGAAGTAAACCCAGTTAACATTTTCAATCTGGAAAAAGCAATCAGTGTATGGTAAAGAGTAGCTACTCCCCTTAGCCTGAAAGAGAATATAAATTGATATCCAGACATTGAAGTTTTAAAAGTACATGATATGTGGTGAGAAGAAAAAAAAATAAAGTCCACATAAACCAACCAGGGAAGATGACAGTGGGAAAAGGATGTGACTTTTCTCCATTCTGCCACTTGCAGTAAGAAATACAGATTTTTGAGTGACAGGTTAACTGGACAAAGGACTAGTGGAGGAGCCTCTATTGAATAAGAGCGTCTCACAGCTGCACAGCTGCAGGGAGAAGAGGTAATAGATCTGGAAAAACACTGTTTAGCTTCTGAGTTTTAAAGCCTGTGACCAGTGCTGCATATGGATTTCCATGTCTGCTGATGTTGAGACTGTGAGCTGCAAAAGAGGATGGCTCCTTTACCAGTAGTGCTCATGAACAAGTTATGAAACACTTATTTCGTCTTCTGCCTTGTCTGTGAACAAGGAGGATCATCACCATAAAGGATAATTGTTGAATTAAGTGTTCATGTGTAAATCTCTTATATCAATACCTGGTCGTATATGAGAACTAACGTGTCAAGTGAAAGAAGTAGTAGGAGCAGTGACCAAAGCCAAGTGGTTTCCTTGGGTGGCTTGAAAACAGCAATATGCTTTCTCATGGTGCTAGAAGCTAGCAGCCTAAGAGAAGGGGTTGACCAAGTAAGATTATTGTGAGGGATGTGTCGAAATTGTCCCACATTTTCCTCTTTGACTTGTACTAGATGGTTTTCTCCTCTCTGTATCTTCATATTTGTATAGTCTTTCTGCCTTATAAGACAGATCTGAATCTTCTTGCATGACAGCAGTCTGCTGCATTGTGTGGTTCGACCTAATGGCCTCATCTTTACTTCATGCATATGTAAAGACCCTGTGTCAACACAGTCACATTTTTGAGGCATTGATCATAGATATCCAGCATGTGAATTTTGTAAAGGAATACACAGTCCATTATAAAATCCTACCCTGGGATGTCAGTTGGACCACTGATTATGTCCTTCTAAGATTTTTGTTTTCTACATAAACTCACTTGAAAGAATTTTTCTTGCAACCAAGAAATTGCTTGTAAGAATAATATATGTTAGGGTTGCTGTAGATAAAATTAAATATTTTTTAAATAAGTGATACACAGGATTTGCAAAAAAATGTTATTTTGTTATTAATAAGAGTCCATTAAACAAAACACTAAGACCTCAGTATGGGTCAAGAATAGAAATGGGTTGTTTTGACTTCAATAAAACTAGTTTTCAGAGTGTAGATCTATTTCTCTTCCCTCTATCTTTCTATATAATATCTCTTATCCCTCACTCCTCAAGAGTACCCTGTTGTAAAATGTGGGAGCCCATCTCCCAGCTGGGCCCCCACAATTTCCAATGAAGGTAACATTCATAGGAAATGTGGATGAGGAGATATATATATCTCCTCATAAACACACACACACACACACACACACACACACACACACACACACACACATATGGGGGATACATATCTTAGTTCAACTTCTGTCTATTCTATGCCACATGGTTCATGGTCTCTTAATCCACACATTATAACTCCTGACACCTCACTCTGGGAAGAATATTTAAAATTAGATAATTAAAATATTCAATCTTAAATATCACTCATGTTTAGAATGGTGTGAAAATTTTAATTGTGATAATCAGCTTTTTATATTAGAATTTGGAGATTTTCTACTCTGGTATTTCATTTTTTCCCTATGGGAATGGATAGTTTTGCATGCACAGATGTTGTTTGAATCATAATGCTTAACTTCACTGCAGAAGCTATTCATGTTTACTAAGGATATCATAGTAAGGGTACTGGATACTCAGAACCTGGAGTTACAGGTAGTTGAGAATCCCCTGATATAGATACTGGTGACCAAACTCAGGTTGTCTGTATGACCCTATTCACCCTTAATTTTTGAGTCATTTCCAACTTATTTGCTTTCTGACATTTCAAATCTTTTTAGTAATTTTTCTGGTGTATATATATGCACATATATTGATATATCAATATATATCCCACATATATTTATATGTATATATATATATATATATATATATATATATATAATAAAGTAGCATAAATACCCAGTTAATCTTGTGAACAATTTTTTTATCCACACTGATGGAAATGGTTTCTGTATCATCTCACTTTAAACCTAGTGCATTTGTTCTTTACTTACAGTATTATGCCTTTGGACTTTATGCCTTTGGACTGTAGACACATTTCTTTCATGTCATTCTCTTTTGTTATGTGAAATCCTGAAGGCTCCATGAAGATGCTATCTATTCTATATTAAGAGAGGTGGTAAGAACCTTTGAGATGTGGGGCTTAGTAGAAATGGTTAGATCACTGTGGACTTGACCATGGTGGAGACTGAACCTCCAATGTGTCCTCTTGCTTTGCTGATCCCTAACCATGAGATGAATGCTTCCTTCTATAGGCTTTCCTGTCCTGATGTGCCATTTCATACAGGCCTAAAGCAGTGAGACCACCAAGCATGGATGGAAGTCTCTGTAACTGTCAGCAAAAATGTGCCCTTATTCTTTACATTTTGATGATCTTGGAATTTTGTTATAGTTATGGGATGCTAAATGACAAGGCTTGTGTATAATTGATCTTTGCAACCTTTCATACTTTCTAGTAGATTGCTTATTCCAGTGAAAACTCAATAAGTAATTTTAATTAATTAGGGATGGGTAAGAATAAAAAAAAAACACCATTTTTCTAGGACAGTGATCTTTAAATGTCCCATATTTTGCATTCTGTGCTAGGTACCATAAATTATGCCTTTTACTTTTTTTTATTGTCCCCAAGTTTAATGTAAAAAATGTTCTGTTAGATTAATATCTTCCTTAGTTTCAACTCCTCTTTTTAGATCTACGGCAATCATAGCCCCTCAGTATGTATCTGTTCAAAGGATGAATGAATAAATAAATGAGGATCTAGTGGTTGCAATGACTGTGACTTGGCAGGACCCATAAAAATGGAACTTATGCTCAGAGGTAATAATTTAAAGTAGTTGGCTAGAATGCAGTGTGCATTAAGGACATTGGGATGTGAAGCAGGACATTTTGATGCTATAGTTTTTAAAATATATTTACATAAAATGCTTTGGGAAAATATATGTGACAATGACAAACAGCGAAGAAGAAAAGTAATACGTGGCTCTCTTCTGAGAGCTGATAGCTCATGTTTCTCTGTCTACCTTCTGGACTTGTCTGCACTGCTTCAATGGTGGGAGTTATCTCAAGTTTGAGATAGATCTCTTCTATCTTTCTTCCTAGGAAAAATGATTCAAGAGAGCAAAGAATAGTTATGACTGAAATATATGAGAAATGATGCCAAAATTGTGAGAAAAAAAAAAGACTTTACCAGGGGGCAAGAAGTGGTCACAAAAAAAGACTGATTTACAGAGTTAAAAATCAGCAACTCATAGAATGAAGTGAAACTTACGACTAACCAAAATGTGGTTAGTTACTCCCATACCATTTACATCCCTATTATACCAGTATAATATAACCATGACACATCCAGTCTCAGGTTCTTGGTCACATCAGCAGTGTGCAGTATGGGGGAAATTAAGAGATAAAGGGGAAAATAGGGTAGCTTTACATGGGGAGGCAGATAGAAGGACAGGATAAAGAAGGGAATATGGGGAAGGTAGGTCATTGATGGTCACAGAGTTTGTGGCTGGGTAATACTGTTGTTTGCTTTTCTTTTCTGGTAACATACAAAGTACCCAGCACCATGAATGCTATTAAATTGAGGTAAAGCTTCTAGCTGGGCATTATCTCGATGTCTTCATGTCTTTTGATAAAACTATATGGTATCTTCAACAATAGATTCTTAAAATAAGGTTACAGAGAATAATCAATAGCCTTGTCAGTAGCCTGCAATGTTTGTGGGAATTTATGAAAGCCCTTTGACCATTGACTTAAAAGGATGCAACCCATTCCTGGCACTGGAGCTTTTACTTGGTGACATAAAATTCTAGTTGGGACATTATCTCCTCTTCTCTGTGGTAACTCCATTTAATTTACTACACTATGCATATACATTTTAAGAAGGTTTGCTAGTAGTAGATTTACATATAACTTTTCAAAATGCTTTTAGTGTTAGTTGTCCTTCCCCATACTTCCTTCTTTACCCTGCCCTCCTACCTTCCTCTCCATGTAAAGCTATCCTATTTCCCCCCTTTATCTCTTTATTTCCCCCCTACCTCACACTCATGATGTTACCAAGAGCCCAAGACTGGCTGTGTCTTAGGAACAGGGGGAAGGTTATTGTTATTATTCTGCTAAGAAACACAGCAATAAAAATGACTCCTAATGATGTTACTGTATCCATATAAGTTGAGCATCACTCAACTTTTACCAGAGAAGTTTCTTCCTGTAGTAGATGGTAATTAACAAAGAGATCACAATGAGACGATGTTCACAGAATAAGGGTCTTTTTAGCCATTAACCCTAAATGGGATCTCTATCAAATGCCATCCCTCAAAGCTCAGGCATAGGGATCTCTGCAGAAGAGGAGCTGGAAAGCTTCTAAGAGCTAGAGGTGGTGGACCACTCCAAGAAAAGAGCATGTCTCAGCCATACCAGGATCAATAAACATATGAAATCATGGAGATTCTGACAGAATACACAAGACCTGTAAAAATTAAGTTCAGCTAAAATCCCAACACTGAGAAGAAAGAGTAGACATAAAGTCCTACCTTTAAACAAGAAGCGGTTGTAGTCGATATTTCCTGGGAAAAGGGAAATCAGTTTTCTTCAGTGGAGAATCACTAAATTTAACAACCACACTCCAAAGCAGGCTCTGTGTCCAGGAGTAGTTGGCCAACACAGAACATACTCCATGGCTTTTTGTGGACATTTTATTTTGTTTTGGTATTTTTTTATTTTGTTAGTTTTCTTTTCCTTGAATTTTCTAAAAGAATTATGTTGAGAGAGAGCGTGGGGAGAGAGAGAGATCATAAAATTGGGTGGATAGACAGGCATAGAGAATTTGGGAGTTGGTGAGGGAAAATAATACGATCAAAATATATTGAATACATTTTAGAAATAAAGAAAAAGAAAAACCATCAAATGTCCTGCAGAGGGGGATTTGACCAGTTAGATGGGTAAATACAACTGATTGAGACATTTGGAGTCTCTTGTGTGATGTGCTCTTCCTACTCCACCAGCTCTTCAAGGCACTTCAGTAGAGAACTGTGTGCTCCTTCAAGGTTACTGAATTTGATTTGCTTTTTTCTAGCTATAACAAGAGAGATGAGAAGTTTAAAGACCCCGAGTCACTGAGCCACAGGTACATGTTTATTCTTACTAATAAGTCACAGTGAAGCTGAACTACCTGATTCTGACTTCCTTTCTAGCCCCCATTTTTGAAGTACCTATTTTTTATAACATGATAAAAAACACCCCCAAACCAAAATTGAATATATGCATGCCATTATTGAAAGAAATACAAGAACAGAATTGAGAGCTTTCTGTGTTCTTTGGTGCTGAGATATGTAATCATGTTGTGACATAACTCTCTGCCCTATTTCTTCCCAAATCCTCTTTTTAAAATAAATATTTTACATTCAATAGTATTGGTAAAAATCGGGGAGCTTACAAAATCATTGTCCTGTATATTCAAGTAGAGAAAATGCCACATGAGGACAACTATTTAGTCTGTTTATTTCCATTTGGAAATCATAGTTTTTGCTTCAAACAAGAGCTTCATTACTGAAAGACAGGACTCACAGGGTACATGATAATCTGTAGGGATTATGCAGATGCTTACCTTTCTTGATTAAAATGTGCTTCTACAGAAAGTAAGGATGCACCTGGTGTGGCCTAGATTCCACTCCTAATGTGTATTCCTTACCTTAGCTGAGGTCATTTCTCCATGCCAAAATGTACTGAGTGTCTTATGCTCACCATGCCTCCTAATTAGATTCCCCTTTCTCTCCCATCTCTTATGGGTGAAAGTGGCTTCATTTTTGAAGTTCTTCATGATCACTTATAAACACATTAACTGTGACTGATATTCTCCATACTTCAAGAACCTTCAGCATTGCCATGTACACAGGCAAAGTAGTTCCAGCTGCACTTCCCCTGCTGAGGTCGGCTTTCTCTTCATGAGTGAGTGAGCATTTTCTTTCATCTGGTGAATTTGTTGCCCCGGAACATTCCCAGTACTTACAAAAAGTTGACATAAATTGCCCCCAGTGGTTTCTCTCTTGTCTCATGCTCTTTGCATACATCATTTTGTTAAGTTAACTCTACTTCTTGGGCCTTTTTTTATCATTCTAGAAAGCATCATAAAATGGCTTTTTTATTATACATATGTACAATATATAACTTGCTAATTTTTTTTAACTTCTGAAGCATCAAATCAATGGCAAGGTCACTTTGCAAATCTTTTTTCTTTTAAATGAGATGGCAATGTGCCAATGTTTTGGTGCAGTGTCCAATTCTAATGAAAGATTAAACATTTTAGCCAGCAGTTCCAGTGTCCTCTGGCTGTTTGAAAACATTTGGTTGAATGCCATCTGTTCTTGGTGATTTATTTATGTCTTGTTTGTCAATTTGTTCTAAAGGACCCTCTATAATTATTGACCAGATCCGCTAGCCTGTGCACTACGAAGGAGAAATGATTAACCAGGACATATGTGCCCAGCGAAGTGCTTGGCAGTGTGGTGAAGACAGAGCATCTGAAAAGCGTATTTGTTCTCCAGAAGTTTGTTATTTGGTGGTAATATCAGGTATTTGTCTTATTGTTGCAAAACAAAAGAAAACAGAACAAAACAAAGCAAATCAAAACCTTGCAACAAGACTTGGGAACAAAGGGATTATTCTAGTTCATAGTATGGAAGTTTAGTCTCTCATGGCAGGGCAGACATAGCTACCGGAACCTAATGGAGTTGGTCCCTTTGAATCTCCAGAGAATAAGCGGAAAGACACAAAGGTTTACACTCAGCTCTCAGTTGACTTTGTTCTTTTTACTCAATCCCAGACCCCAGCCTGTAGCATGGTGGCAACATTTAGAGAACTTCTCACCTCTATTTACCTGATCAAAAAAAAAAAATCCTTCCTGAACATATTTCATCATTTGTCTTCAACATGAATCTAGATCTTTTCCAGTTGACAAGAAATATGAATTATCACAGTTGGAGTATAACGTAATCAAAGTTCTGGTGTTCATCAAGCTCGGCCTGAGGTACTGTAACAATAGACAGGAAACACAATGAACTCTTTTCTTCATTGTTTCATCAGCGATTTGTGCTGCCTTCTCTCCTCCTCATCCAGCCCTTCCATGATGCTGAGCACTCTAAATGCCTCTGTGTCTTTAATATACTCAAGAAATTTCCTCTATATTATTTACCTTTCCCTTTTTATTTTATTTTAAAAGAGAGGTGGAGTTTATTACAGACCAAAAGGAAGTACTGTCAAGGGGTAAGAGTTGGCAGTGGCCAAAGAGACAATTGCATCACTTACATATGGGCAGGCTTCCTATTACTTTTAAACCTAGCTGAAAACTAACACTTCCCCTGAGGGGTGTTTTCCTGCCCAGGTGGGTGATAGGGCCATTGGGTTGAGTTAACTATAGGATGACTGGGAGAGGGGAATTGGTATATGTTCACTCCTTTTTGAAAGTTCAAATTCTTATAATATCTAAAGCAGTGTAGATGCTATGTACTGAGGAAATAACAGTGATGAAAATGTGCATGTGATATTCTGGCCTTAGCATCTTCTTAGGCTTGTTCTGTTCATCAGTCTATCAATAGCAATACCTGAGAATGCCACTACAGCCTGGGCTTCCGAGATTTTTAGCTCTCTGCCAGGCACAACTGCCATGACTCATGGTTCTGATTATTCTTGCCATATTTATACTCTGCTGGAAGCTACTGCTCCATATTAGAAGAAATGGGTTGAGTTTTAGTCTTCCTAATGTTATGTCCTTTGAGCCATGAATCATGGCTGCTTGCCTGTCCTGTCCCTTGTCAAGATGATGCCTTAGTTTCTGCCTGCAGCATTGTTTGCAGAGCTCAAGGTGGCAGCGGTATAGAACTCACACTATTACCTCCTCATCTCAGCTTCTTCTGCTCCTCATCGCCATGAATGATCCTTTTTCTCCCTCCTGAATCAAAATGTAAAGTTGGCATCCATCTGAAAACTTTCGCATGGTGGTGTCATTTGTCCTGCGTGTCTACTCTTAATTCAGTATTGAGTGACTCCAGAATGTCTCAGTTACTCATCACACACACACACACACACACACACACACACACACACACACACACACACACACTCATGCACACACGCGCACACACACACAAGAAAAAACAAGAGACCTTACAGAGTGGCCACAATTATCCTTATCTTCAAGTGGCCTACACATACCTAAGTGTCCAGATGACTGAGGTCAAGTGCATGTAACTAGTAAGTTTCCATTCTTAGAAATGCTAGCAACCTGCTTCCTGTGTGGGAAATTCCAGCATTTCCATTGCTTTGATTTGCACTCCTTTTGTCATAAAAATGAAAGTGATATTTTGATTACAGAGAAAGCAGCAGGATGAACTGGAGACATGATAAAAACATACGTTAAATGTGTGGTGGTTGATTGGTCCCTCCCTCAGAATAATTTGTTTAAACCCTGAAGCTCTCTCAGCCAAATTTGAAATCAATAAACAATCCGGCCACTGCTCAAATCAGGCATCATCTGCTTCAAAACTTGTCATGTCTGCTTCTGATTGGCAAGTGAATCACAGCCAAGTGCTTATTAGACTGTTAGGCTCCCTTCCAGTGCAGTCTTCAATTATCTCTGTGATTGTACAGCAAAGAACATTTGCTTGATGAAGTAGAGCTGATTTGCTTATTGTATGTCTCTGCATTCTCATTAATCTCTCCAATTCTGCAATTTGTATTGGTTTTCTAGTTATTAGTGTGAATTCATGACAGCATGTTTTATTATTAGTGCTGTCTCCTTGCCGTACTTAACCCTTTGGAATATGCAGAGAATGTGACATATTCCCCTTCTGAAGTCTTTGCAGGTTTAATGTGAATGACTGCAAACAGGACAGAGGCCTGGTGTTCGAACTGGTGGCTTTCAATAATCAGTGGGATCTCATGAACGCTGTTGTCAAACAGTTGTATCTCTCCCCATTCCTTATGACTTAATGTAGATTTAGAACATATTTTCTTCTTCTTTGATTTTTTTTCTTTTTGAACAGGGCCCCACACTGTAGATTGTGCTTTGGCTAGAAGCTGCCTTTATCTCCTGATTGCTGGGATTTTAGTCATGTGCCCTAAAATTGCATTTTTTGTATCTTTGTGGACTATCAATTAATCATTTTAGACCTTTGGATTTTTGGTGAAATATATATATATATATATATATATATATATATATATATATATATACACACACACACACATTTGCACTCCTTTTGTCATTATTACAATATATATTATAATGTATATATATATTTGACTCAAGGTCAATTTTCCTGCAAAATTTTAAATTTTAATTGGAAATCGTCCTGAGACTACCTGCAAAGAACTTCCATTGGCTGATCCCTATGAAATTTCCAAATCATATTTAAAAGCCTACTAACAAATAAATGTCTTTTTGAAAAACTCCAAATAATCAAAGATGACACTTTTGGATTTGAGAGCAAACATGCTTTTTCAACCATTGGATCTCCCTAAGCAATTTCACACAATACAGATCCAGCAGGGGACCCAACCCCTAAGTACAAAATTAAGAGTTAAAAAAAAATACTAAGAATGTGGTAAGTGCAAAGCCTTTCTAATCAGCTGCTTAGGTCTTTCTGTTTAATCTCTGAAATTAGGAGCCTCAAACTTTCCTGGTCACAAGAGGAAGGGAAATGTGTGTTTCTTTGTGTTCTTTATATCTATAGGATTTGGTTAACTTTACAATCTCGTGTCTTCGTTTGGTGTTGACTATTTTAGACCCTCTCAGATGCCAACAGGAAACAACCACCTTCCTGTTCCTGATCAACACATGTAATTCATATTATGTTATGTTGCCTAGGAAGGCAATGGTGTTTTATGGCTGCAATTATTTCTCAGTAAATTATTCACTACTCATAGTGTGAACTCTGAGAAAAATTTGCATTTTCTTCCTATAGTTAAATATTACTATCAATTCAATATTATAAATTTCTGCCAGATACAAAGTAATCATGCCTTGTTTCTAATAATGAACTCTTAAGTGAGTGAGTAATACCACACTATTCCTATTACTGCTTGTGGAGGCCCACAAAGGTTTCCTTGTGAGATCTAAGCTTGCATTACCCAGCAGGGCTGCATTAGAGAATTGCTTGACTATGTGTGCGGTTACCAGGTGATTGGAAAGGGTCTGCACTTGGCTGTGCTAGGGGGAGGTCTTTTGCTCTACCCTGTGGCATTCCTATAAAACGTCCTTTAGAAGAGACAGAAGGGGCCACTGGATGATGATCCAGGCCATCCTGAGGCTATCCTGTGTTTCTGTTTCTCTCCTCTCTATCCTTCTATCTAAATATTTCTCCTTCCTCCATCCTCAAGAGTACCCTGGGGAAAAAGTGGGAGTGGGCTTCCCACAGAGAAATGGGTAGGCCCCCTACAATTACTAATATTTTAAGCTCCTATTAGTTGCATAAGTATTACTTGTTAAATGTAAATACTTAATTCTGACTCATTAAGAGAAAAGTAAAAACTAAATTTAACTTTACACATGACAGAATTTTTGTAAATTTTGTAACACTCATGAAATTAATAGAGTTTTATGTTTGCTTTCCATTTGTGTGTTTTCTACACTAGCTTGTTCTTTCCTATGTGTTCTGGTCTTATAAATTCAATGCCTCCAAAAGGTTTTGAATCCTCTTTCTACAATAACCACAAAACTGTCTATACCATTTCTCAAATATTTTTCAAATTCCATTCCAAAGCCCCTACAACTTAATTTGTATTTAAAACTATCTTCAAAGATTTTTTCCCAATGTTTATGTTTTAAATTCTAAAATTTATTCATATATTTGGTCCAAATATTCAGTAAGTGATTGTGTGATGTGAGCCATCCAGTATAAACATACAGACTGATTTTATTTGTGTGTGCAATCTTTCTTTATTAGTTTTGATTAGTTCACAATTTACATCCTTCCCTATATCACTGTCTTTGTCCTGCCTCTACAGAATTCTAAATGTTTACTGTTCATTATTCTCCTTCTTACGTTAAGATAAACCCTCAGAATTTATATCAACAGGCCTCCCTTTGGTAAATTTTTATTTTTGCTTAAATTTGACAGGAGAAGAAATGATTTTTCTCTATGTTTATGTATACACGTGTGTGAAAGTGTGTGCATGTATGTATGTGTGCTTATGTGTGTGTGTGTGTATAAATGTGTACTTGTCTATATGTCTGTGTAGTATAGTATATTTCCATGTTTTTTGATTACCAATATATCTTCTTTCATAAATGTTCTGTTGTTGTCTTTTGCTGTAGCCAGAAGTTTCTCAAGTCCCCACCACCACCACCACCATGGTCCAGACAAATCTCTCTCACCTGTGGTCCTACAGCTACACAGACCCAAGTAAACACACAGAGGCTTATATTATTTACAAACTGTATGGCCTATGGCTAAGAATTCTTGCCAGGTACCTCTTTCATCATAAATCAACCCGTTTCTATTTATCTATGTATTGCTATGGGGCCATGGTATTACTGGTCTGCTGGCATGTTGCTCCTGGTGTCTTGCTGCCTATGCCTTTCTCCTTTCCTGTCTCTCTCTTGGATTTCTTGCCTGGCTATAACCTGACTCTCCATAGGCCAGAGAAGCTTCTTTATTAACCAATCATAGAAACACATATTCACAGCATAAAGAAAGATATCCCACAGCATTTTGTTAATGTGCCCATTGAAGATTTCACCTTCTTAATGATTTTTAT